GCTATATAATTCACTAAAAGAGAAGTTATAGCATGCCAGGAGCCACATACCTTGAGAAAATAAATGGCTATGAAGAAAAGTCACCAGGGGTTGGAGCTAAAAAGAGGTTCTTACTAGAAGGACTTCAAGAATGTAATAATAGGAAAAGACTTATTGCTGCAATTAACAATGTAAGTAAAATGTCAAAATACAATACAGTACACAATGGGGGAGAAAAACGGCTACAGAACACTATTATGATGTGTAGCATGTTTAGAAAATAATGGCTAATATGTACTGAGTGCTTTACTACATGCCAGGCACTGTTCAAGGCACTTTACATACATTCTCATTTAATCCTCACCCATATTTTAAGGTAGGCACTACAGTTATCCCCAATAAGGGGATATTCCTTACCAACAAGAAAACTGAAGGACAAAATGTAACTTTCCCAGAGGTGAAGCCCAGGTTTGAATTCAGACAGTCTGATTCCAAAGAGTACACTCTTACCATGCTGGCTATACAGACAAATATTAGAAAAACAGACTGAAAGGAAACATGCCAAAGTATTAATAGAAGATAACCAGTGAAACCAACTGATTTTTGAGCCAAGTTTTCCAAGTTTCCTCATTGAGTATACATTCATTCTGATTAATTTTTAATTAAATAAAGCATAGCTCAATTTACCAAAAGGAACTCAAAAGAGCAATATGGAAAATCTAAATTATCTAAAGAGATTAACTTAAAATCAAAGACTGAGAAAAATAAGACCAGGGATAAAAATGCAAGGAATTTAAGTTTATTTAATCATGATAAAGAAAACCCTAAAGACTAACTATATTAAAGTATTTGAATGTATACTATACTACAGAGAATAGCTATTGCCTATTTGACAATGGATTGAATGATATGCTACAAAAAATTCACAACTGGTTTGATTCAAAAGCCATAAAATAATACAAAAGGCCATCAATTTTGTTTAAATTTTCTTTCTAATACATCAAAGATAGTTCAGGTTCAACTTTGGGAAGGACTCATATAAAGAGGAACTTTTAACATTTAATTCACTATAGAGCCACAGCTGAAAAGCTTGCCACAATAATTCTTCTGAAGTTACTAACATAGAAGTTAGTAGGAAATAACAACCAAGTATTCATAATTTGAAAGCCGGAGATAACCTGGGAAATAACTCAATACAGGTTGGTTTATTTCTATGGCACCATCTGATCTCTGCACCATCCTGCACCAATAACTAACAACTGACCAAAACAGAAACAAGACAAATAAATTTCCATTAACAATAAATAATGAACAAAAGTCCCAACCTTAGTTAAAATAGGAGGAGGCAGCAACATTAATCAATCCTATAATCAGCTTTTTGTCCACAAAAAAAGGGGGAAGGCAAGATAGAATGGAAGAGCAAAGGGAAATTACCAACTGCAGAGTAAGTCAAATACAGCACTGTAAATATGGCAAAATATAACAGTGAAACTTAGAAGGGAAAAGAAATTTATCTCCAAAAAAATTACTCAAGATTTATTAGCAAAATAACTCATTAAATGATAATTGTAGGAAGAAAGGGCACTCAGTAACATGTATTGTAGTCTACTGTGTGCCTTACTTTGCTAGCTCATTTAAGCCTCCAAATAACCAGATTTGGTAGGTATTATCCCATTTTTTAGATTAAGTTAAAGAACTGAAAAAATAAGTAATTTGCCTAAGGCCACACATCTGTACTAAAAAGAGTCAAGATCTGATCTAATTTTAAGTGAATCCTTGTTGCCCTTTGTTCAAATTACTTTTCTCAGAGAAAACTATAAAGGTAGATGAGATCTAAGACTTCTTTTAATGCATAGGCTTCTTATTCTTGGCATTAACGGGATTTTTGTGAGGTAAAACTAAAAAGTAAATATTCAAAGAATCAGGTTCCCCAATATACTCCTTTATCCCTACCCACCAAGACTGAAACAAGTAAAGCAACAAAGATGTGGAAGTACCTAGGCAAAACAACAAAAAAGATGGGTATGGAAAATCTAGAGATAAAAGTTTACTTCACTAATAAAGTAAATGTAAAAAATAAATAAATACAAAGATAACTAGTAAAAGATTGCTTTAATATATTACAATCCTTTTCACAAAATAAACATGTATTAAATCATTAAATGAATCTCCAAATTTAACTTTAAAAAGAGCTTTAATATTATCAAAATATCTTCTTTCCTGATGTCGGCCAACCTACGTCATATATCCCTGAAGTAGAGTTTATTATCGTAGGCAAACACAGAGTAAATTATATCTGAAAACAGGCATAATGTGGGTAAGGAGGCTGGAAAAAGGACAATACCAGAAATTCTTTAATACCTCTGAAAGTAAGTGCTGCTATGCCAAGTACACATTCACATGTCTTCCCCAAAACATTAGAAGCTAATGATGACAGATTTGTGGAATCTTTGGGGGTTTTTGTTTGTTTGGTTTTGCTTTTGAAAACATTATTAAAGGGGATTCTAGAGTGCTAGAAAGGAGCTGACCACTTTGGTTCTCCTGTCCCAAGAATGAATTCCACTTCAATTTTCACAATTTACATCATGGAGTAGGAGGTACAAAGTAGTCAGGATTTATAAGCAGACAATAAAATACGGTAAGAAAACACTGAGATAAACTCAAGTCGCTTTTTAAATTGTACAGTTAAGGGTTTTAATGTTCCAAGTTTAATGAATTGATAACCCAGTTCACTAATAAACCTTAAATTCCTAAAAATCAGTTTCTGTTTTTTCCTTACCTCAAAGCTATCCTTGGACCAAATATCGCTTCTCCCAACTATCTACTTTTACCCCCTACCCACTTCTGAACTTTTCTTGTCCTACCCCAGTTCCTCCATTACATCAATTACCTACTACCTCTTCATTTAATATTTACTAATGCTGAGGAGTAGGGTCTATAAAGAATAAAACATAATCTATCCTTCAGAACCTAACAGTGTAGTAGGAAAAACAAAGGTAAATAAATAACCACAACCATGTGATAAAAGCTCCTATAATATTTTATCTCACCCTTCTTTCAAGAAAACTATTCTACCCACTAGTATAATCTTCTAAGTGCAAATACGCTCTAATGTCTCAAATCCTTTGTTTTAATAGTTCATTATAGTAAGATTATATGTAGAAATCATTATTTAACCAGGCGATCATATGTTTAAACATTACATTCATGATTACCTACCATACAAATATCACATAGGCTACCTTTGGAAAATAGGTTAGAGAAAGCAATCCAGAATGCATCACAGAGACAACAAAATGTAAATCATAAAAGAGAGAGTAACAGAAGATAAAATGAAAAAGTCTAGCATCTGTTTAACTGGAGACCCAGAGGAGAGGACAGAGAACGGGGTAAAGACACTATATTAAAAGATAATGACTGAGAATTTTCTGATGCCAATAAAAGACATTATAGATTACACAAGCATAATAAATCTCAAACAAGATAAATTTAAAAGAACTGACACCAACATATGTCATAATCAAACTGCAGAAAACCAACAAGAAAATGTTAAAAGCAACCAGAGAAAAAGAGATAATTTTCCAAGTAGTAACGGATAGTAAATTTAAACCCAAATATATCAATAATTACACATAAAGGACAAAATGCCCCAGATAAAACACAAAGATCGTCATGTTGTATTTTTAAAAAGCCACCTCTGTATTATTTTTAAGAGATATGGAAAATAAAAAAATACAAAAAGGTTGAAAGTAAAACAATGGAAAAAGATATATAAACATAAAGCAAAGGTTATGCAAAACTATAACACTGATGATTAGTATAATAAGAATCCAGAAAAGGAAGAAATAAGTAGTATTTGGAAAGATGGAAGAAAGAGGGGGAATAATATTCCTGGCTAGGCAGGAGGGCAGGGGGTGGAAGAAGAGGCTCTGATTAAAATATGAAGGTCCTGAAATTCATAAGTTTAGACTTGGTGATAGAGGAAGTATGACACCATTAAAATATCTTAACCTCTTTATACTACCTTGATCATAAGAGTGACTGACAGAGCAAAGATAGAATTCAATAAGATTAATATTACAGTGTTATTAATACAGTGTATAATTAATATTATTAATACATAGTATAACTTGGAAGGAAGAGAGGGAGAAGATATCAGAAGCAAGACTAGTTGGAGGATGTGTAGTAATCCAGGTAAGACAAGGGCCTGATGAGGTAAAAGAGATGAATCTAGTAGGCATTTCAAGAAGAAGCCCTCCCTATCTGCATCAGTTTTCCTTCTTTGAAATTTTAAGGGCAAAAAAATGCACCAAGCTTTATAAAAAATAATGAAAGTATTTTTGTTTTCCACCATTATACCTAATGTGTATTATGATACAGTCACCTATTAGTCAACCTAATAATATACAGAATAATTTTTTGTAAAAATAAAATTCCAATGAACTAACCAGCTGGCATTAGGTACAATATATACAATCCATAATAACTTCCTCACTGTTAAAATCACTAATATAAGGGAAAAAATCTGGGGGCCAGCCGAGTGGCTCAGTTGAAAAAGCACGAGCTCTGAGCCAACGGGGTCGCCGGTTCGATTCCCACGTGGGCCAGTGAGCTGCGCCTGAGATGAGCTGCTTCTGAGCTGCCAACAGGTGGCAGGATGGCTCAGCTGGTGAGAGCACATGCTCCTAACAAGGTTGCCGGTTCCTAACTAAGATTGAACACGGCACCTTGAGCTGAGCGGCCCAGGCCGAAGGGCAGTCGGATGGCGACTAGATTTGGAGCTGAGCTAGCTGCACCCTCCACAACCAAGACTGAAGGACAAACAACTTGCTTGTTCCCCTTCCCCAATTCCCCAATAAAATCTTTAAAAAAAAAAAAAAAATCTGGTAACTTTTTCCTCTTTGAATGCTAATGTACATAATATGAAATTCTCTGATTTCACAGTAACTGAAAAAACATTTTTATTTTTAAAAGCTCTTTACCAAGAGAATATCACTTGGTAATGAATTTAAACAACTCACCAATGCTGGGTGGGCTACCATAGTTGACTGGCGACTCAGGTGGTCTTCCACAATGCAATGCAGCCAGTGCAGATCCTTTCCACACAACATGCTTACAACCTATTAAACACACATAGTTTTATGGATAAAAAGATAGGACAAAAGAAAAAAGTTAGAAAAAGAATGTCTAAATCCTTTTAGAAATTTTTCATACTTTTATTTGTGCGAAGCAAGGACTGTCTTCCAGCTCCTAATAAAGTTTGTACTCCAGGAACACTTTGCGGAATTTCTTGTTCAAGAAGAGGTCCTAGTCGATGACATATTTGCAGCAAGTGATCAGGTGCTAAATGTCTGTAATACTTCACCTATGGTATAAAAGACATAAAATATTTGCTAAATAAAGTGATATAATTCTTTATAGCAAATAAAATACACTTTTAAAAATACAGTAATTGGTCTGGTTAACTCAACATTTTATTTTACCTTGGAGAAAAGTTCACATTTATTATGTAAAACCACTCGAATCACAGAACAGAACAGCTACTTCAACCATCATTTAATCCAAAGGAGGAAAAATACTAAAGAATTAATGTAATCTAAATATAGCAAACTATAAATTAACAGATGCTAGTCAATCCAAATATTGAATGATGAAAAAAATATATAGCATTGTAACCTAAAATGGTATTTTTCAGTTTAACATTTTAATTTTCAAAAGCTTCAAATAAAAAAATCATCCAACTATGTTTTATATCCTTGATATTATAAAGAATATCTCCAGAATAAAGTATTTAAAAAACTTGATAGTTCAGTTCTCATTACAAAATTTAAAAACACTTATATGACATCTAAAGCTGAATTTTAGAATTTATTTACCAAAAACATTACAGAGAGAAAGGCCAAATTCCAACTATTAATTTACAAGTTTTGACTATAAAATAAATCTACCTACTACAAAAAGTTTGACCACTTTTGGAACAACTTTTGAAACCAAGCTACGAAATGCTAATATTTTTACTATTTACCCCGAAAGTCTTTTTAGTAAATAGACAATATTTACATAATAATCTAAAGAGAATTAAATTAGAGAAAATAAAGCATACAATTTTATCACTTTATATTTAGGTTATCAAGTTACTAAAAATTTCTCACTGTAGTATTTGAATACTCTAGTATAGCTATTCTCAAAGTGTGTTCTGAGAACCCCTTGGGGGTTCCTCAGGCAAAAATTACAAATACTAAGTCATTATTTGCTTTTTCACTCTCACTTTCTCATGAGTATAGGGTAGTTTTCCAGAGGCCACATGACATGTGATGTTACAACAGAATGAATACAGCAGATTTAAGAATCTGTCCCTTAAACCAGACATTAAATGTTCCCCAAAATGTAAAACAATGACACTCTTCTTACAAATTTGTTTTGGAAAACTAATTGTTATAATTATTATTATAACAGGGTTCTAAGACCAAGAAGGTTGAGAATTGCCACTCAAATTCATTCAGTAACGGCAACTTTAGTATGAATTCCTTATGATGTTGATTGGGGGTGGGGAGAGTGAGGGTTTACATCATTTCACTCCATCCTGTAGTATCTGTTACACTCTAACTGGAGAAAGATCATGATATTCATCCTTCTGAACTGAAGCCAATTAAGAGGAACTTACTTGACTTTTTATCATAACATACTCCTGTCATGAACACAACATGGAGTCGTATTGTCAACTTTGTAGGATAATTAAAAACAGCAGTCTGGCACACAGTAGATGGCCAATAAGTATAGATAGAATGAATACTTCTGGAAAAAAGGTTCTAATACAAATTATACATACTACATCTCCACTGTGGAGATTCACAAAACACAATGACATTAAAGTCTCTGAAAAATCCTGAGATGAAACTATTAAATTGTTTAATGCACAATTTCCCAAACTCAGCTAGCTATAGATTCCTTTTTTCCCGAATATCATCTTGACTCAAAAATACTTTAAAAAAAAAATATTTTCAAACACTAGTATAGATTAGCTAAACAGAAAAAGCACTCCTAAGAAAATACACCAAAATATGAATTTTTACAATTGTTTATACTGTAGTCTCCCGTAATTTGCTTAAAAGTAAAATTTAAAAGAAAAAAATCTAGAATATTTATAGCCTCCCTTCCAGTTCTAAATTTGAATATAATTATTTTAATGTAACTTCTTTAAAATGACCAAAATTCCTTTTAAAAATTTTACCTTAACAAGAAAGGTCATTCCTTATTAACGTTCGTTTTGTGATGATCCTGTTTTAGAGTCTTCTTGTGAAATACAGTTCAAGTAATGAACCTGAAAATCCTCATTGCAGAATCGCATTTTTTAATAAAATATTATGAATACACTTTTTCCCACTAGATCTTTCTTTGATGGTTTAGTATATTTCAATTTTTCAAATATCAACTTTCATTTTAAAGTTAGAAGAGATACTTTCAGTTCTTAAACTTCTCATACTTTCTTGCTTTTGAGACTTTATACAAGCTGATACCTCTGCTGGAAATCTTTACCCACCCACCTTCACATCTCATTCTTTTTCTTGTCTCAGTCTATGCCTCACCATCTTCCGTGACCTGTTGTTACACCACCGCTGCCCGTCTTTTTGGACATTCTTTCTATCTTTGTGTTTCCATAACACATTATATTCCTTCCCAGGCATTTCTTTACCCCGCTTCCCAGCATTTCCTAGTCCTTATGCCATATTAATTGTTCTTAATACGCATATATTTTGATACCTGGACCTCAGTGGGAATATAATGACAGTAATGATCCTCTTCTCCAACCCACCCCAAAAAACACACATACAGACTTTATCACAATCTTGCCATTTGGGGGTGTTCATAGAACTCCTGCACTATACTAAAATTGCCAATTTACTGGTCCATGTTTTGCATAGGACGTGAATTAGATTTTGTTTACCTGTCTACTCGTACCTAAATGCAGTACTTACAGTTACATGCTTAATAAATTGTAGAATAAATGAACACATAAAAATATTCAAAAACCACTGACTTCTTTTCTATCTAGCCATTAAATGGTGACGTTCCTTAAATTCTGAGATCCCAGAGTCCAGCTCCAGATTCTTTTCTTCTCATTCTACCCTCTCTCCTTGGACAATCCCTTATGTCAGTGATTCCCAAATTTACATCTATAGCCTAAGCTTGCCTATCAAGCTTTCTTAAAAGATACCTCTCTTTGGAGTCCCAAAGCCTCAATTCAACATATATAAAAATGAAACCATAATCCTCATGCCAACACTCACCAAATAATGTCCCCTACCTTGGTGAAAGGCAACACCATCTATCCAGTCTCAAAACAAGAAGTCAAATTTTTTTACACTGCCCATTCCTCCCTCCCTCCCACCTCATTCCCAATATCCAAGCAGTTTCACCGAGTCCAAGTGATTTTTCCTTCCTATCCTTAAATCCACCTACCTCCCCCAATCTCCACAAAGCCCAACTTCAAATAATCTTTATAATAAAGTCCCATTTTTCCCACATCCACTCATGCCTTCTACCTCATTCAAATCTATTCTCTACTTACATTGGAATGCTCTTTCCAAAACATATATCTGCTGAAGTCACTCCTGTTTAAAGCACCAGAGGCTTTCCTTGCTCTTTGGAGATCCAAATCCTTAACATCGTCTACAAGGCCTGAAATGCATTTCTGGTCCATCCTATTTCTCTGCTTCATCTGGCACATTCTCAGCCCTACACCCTCCAGCCCCCATTGTCCACATTTAGACACATATGCCTTCTTTCAGGTCCTTCATCTGCACTTTCTTCTGTCAGGCTTTCCCCATGTGGTGCACTTTTCTGCATTTCCTTACATCCCCTTGTTCAGACAACTCTTCTATGTGCTTCATATCTTCCATCCAATGTAATTTCCTTTGTTTGCCTTTACCCTATTCAGTCTAAGTGTGTTATCTTGGTTGCACACACTTGGTGACTTTTCCTTAACTCATGTATCAATTGATCATGATACAATTAAAAGCATAATGACTTAATGCTTTTCTTCTCAACTTCATCACAAACAAGAAGAGAACTGGGACCACATGTCTTTTTTGTCCCAACAGCGTCACACATAATACTTAGTTTAAAAAATAAAAATTACCGTATTTCCCCATGTATAAGATGCACCCTTTTTCGAAAAATTTGGGGTCTAAAAATTGGGTGCGTCTTATACAGTGGTTGTGGGTTTTTTACTTGCATTTCCCGCTTTTTTGCACTTGTCTTTGCGCTCATTGCTTCACACTTGTTACCGGTATATTACGGTAGGTTACGTTTTGCCACGTTCTGCCCAAAAATGGCTCAGAAAAGATTTTCGTACAGTGTTGAATTCAAGTTAAAAGTGATCCAGTTCGCAAAAGTGAATGGAAATCGTGCTGCTGCACGTAAGTTTGGTCCTCCTCCAATTGAGAAAACAATCCGAGACTGGCTATGGGAAGAAGAAACCCTACTGAAAACGCCACGGCAGAAGAAGGCCATGAGAGGCAAGTCAGCAAAATGGCCAGATTTAGAGAGGGAATAGAAGATATGGATTGAAGAGCAAAGGGCAATTGGAATTCCTGTGTCCACAAAGATGGTTCAGCATGAGGCAAGAAGACGTGCTGATGAAAAAGAAGTTATGTAGTACATTTTTTTTCAAATTTCGGGCCCCAAAATTAAGGTACATCATATACATGGGAGCATCTTATACATGGGGAAATACGGTATCTTTTGCTACTGTATTTTTCTAAACATTATTCTTCGTGAATATTAACCCATGTCACTATCGTCAATATTTAAAATTCAAAAACAAATTTAAAAAATTAAAATAGTTGATTTATGGCTATACATATATAATTTTTAATTTTCAAAGTAGTAAGAACCCCTATCTTTAATACTAAAAGGAAATTTAAACTAAAAGGAAAACTTAAAACGATATTGTAATAAAATTCCTTCTCCAAAATGTCTACATTTGGATTCTCAGTAATTGTTTATACACTATTATTTGGGAAGAACAAAACTTGACATCCTCAATTCTAATATACCCATTACTTTCTATGACCAGTGTTTCTTTCAAGCTCTTTAGATATTCAACACAGAAGTTATAAAGTTATGGGTGATAAATATTAATAACACTAATATAGCTAACATATTGGCTGTGCACTAAATGCTAGCCCTTGTGGTAAGTTTCACATGTAAAAGCTCAGTTAATTATTTTAACAACTCTAAGAGGTATGTACTATTATTATTTATATTAATAAAGAAATTACGGTACAGAAAGATAAACAACCTTGTCAAGGTCACACACATTTAGTGGATGGAAGATAAGTGGACAGAAGATATGAGTCAAACTAAGGCAGTCTAACTCCAGAGCCCATATTCATAATGCCCCCCAAAGTACCCACTGCCACAAATACACGTGTATGTATATATCAATATGCAAGAAAGCTATAAAATAGATATTTTGAATAATTTTCAACAGACATTAAACTGAACCAGAAAAAAAAACGTTTTAAACTTCACTCTCACAACTAAGCAAACTAATACAAAAGCATAAATTACTACAGGTAAAAGGTAACACTTAAAAATCTAAGGACAGAAGTAGAAGATAAAATTACAATGATATAGTGACATTAAATACTCTCTCCCACAATGGCTAAAGGAAATCAATGTGATCAACCCCATTTTCCTTAATAATTCTAAGATTAAAATTCTAAAGTTAGAAGCAAGGTATAAACAGATTACACTAAAGGGTTAATACCATAAAATTGATGATTGCTATTATAAAAGAATTTTTTAAAACACATTTATCAGCAGCACTCCACTTTTAAATCCATGCCCTGTTCGATAAACATTCCATCTCCTCTCCCACTACGATGCAAGAACCTGCTTATGGATGCAAACCCTGATGCCACCCCACTGAGATTCACTCCTAGACCAGTGAGCTAGTCAGAGCTTTTTCTAACTTCTCATAGCCCCACCCCCATCTCCAGTCGCAGTTGAGAATCACACGATTTTTGATAAGTGTCCATAATTAATGGATAAAACCTAAATTAAACAGAGGCATCCTTTTTGTAAATAAGTTACGTTACCTAGAGCAGAAGTCAGCAAACATAATCTGTAATTATGTAAAGGGTCTGTAAAGGGTCAGATGGTAAAGGGTCAAATGGTAAATATTTTAGGCTTTGGGAGCTGCTTACTCTCTCTGTTGCATAAATATATTTAAAAAACTCTCTTAAGAACTGTTAATTTTAGCTCAGTAGCCTTGCACAAACAGGTCTCCTGCACCATTTACCCACAGCAGCCATAGTTTACCCACTCAGATCTAAAGAAAGGTCCTTGGTTCTAACCAACTTTTCCAGCAGCAGGGGTAATACAATTTTGTTAAACAGGCAACTGCTCATGCCTTGTCTATTTTGGCTCAAATCGTAAATCTGTATCACTCCTTTCTCAGATTGCATAGATAAAATATTTCTAGAACTGTCAATTACAATTTGAACAATATTATCTTCTGAAAATGTGAACTGTAGCAAGGAAGGACAAGAAAAGAAACTGAGCTCTTTCAGTGTTTTATTCTCCTGCACCTTTGTCTACATCAACCTGCTTCTGCTTGGTATGCTCCTTCATATAAAGAGTCATCCTTTCCAGCCAAGAAAATTTTGTTATTATCAGTGGAAGGTACCGCTAAAAGGTTAAGTGTTATCAGCCGAAAGAGAATATAAAGAAACTGGAAGCCACTGCATTCCACAAGACATACTGCCATTAAGACTTCTCTAATCAATTTTTAAAGAAAAAGTCAGTAGTTTGATTAAAGGATCTAAAGTCAAACCTAGCTTTAAACTGCCTGAGGGTGGGGAAAACATTTACTCAAAGTCTCAGTGTCCTCATCTGTAAGACTGGGACAGCAAGAGTCACCACCTTGGGAGGAAGTCATAGTACTTGACACAAAAACTTTTTAAACCTGTTGTTTTTAATCACACTCCACATTACATACTACATGCTGATCTTCATGTTGAAAAAAATCTTTCTAGACCAAAACAGGGGGAAAAACATTGGATGCCTCTTTAAAAAGGACCTTTTCCAAGTGAGGTTAGGTTAGATCAATATATTAATTCCAACTACTTGATTTACCTGTGAGACCTAAATACTAGTCCTTCCTCTAGCATTTAAATAAGAAGCCCCTATGAAAATAAAGTAAGATCAACCTAATGATTAGCACTAGTATGATCTGATTTGACTAGGCTCTTCACTTTATCCCTATGTCTTGAAAACCTGACTGGTTCTGAAAAACTGACTTTTTAAAATTGTCTCACATCGATTTTTCTCACAATTTTTTCAGATCTGAAAGGCTAGGTGCTTCTGCTCTCTACTATAGTTCTGAGTTCTAAAAGGTCTGTTTAATGGAACACGGTTTTCATTTTTATGACTATTGTAGCATATAAACAAAAATCATAATTTAAAATTTAAATTAAAATTTAAAAAACCTATTTGCTATTTAGATCTATAGATTATTAAAATCAAGCCCCTAAGCTTCTCAAAACTTCTAAAGTTATAATTATAAATCTCGTACTATTATTACAAAGTATAGGTTAAATTATATCTATAATCTTTAAAGCAAGTTTACATGTTCTCTGAGCACTTTTACTAAAATAGATTCTCCACATAAACAAATATATGGAATACTCTGTGCCAAATATTCCCCAAATTTACCTTCACAAGCAAATAAGGTTAAGCATTCACCCCATTTTACAGGTAAAGGAAACTGAAGTCCAAAGGTTATACAGTTTGTCCAAGGTCATACATTTAGAAAGTAGGAGAAACGAATCAAACCCAGATGTCCTAATTCCAAGCCTGTTATTTTTAATACATTACAGTTTCCTTCTCAACACTTTAGTACCCCCCCCCACTGTCACACAGGTTTTATAATTATAAACTTACTAGAACCCATATAAACCATTTTTCAAGTAAAATCCTCTAAGTTGGGTAACTACTCTCAGAAGGGCTCTTATATGCATATGATTTCTTTGTAGTTAGAAATATAAGAAAATTAATATAGAATCTTATTAAGTGTCAAAATTAATCTTGGTGGTCTATTTACTCTTAATTAGCTGTGAATAAACATGCTTGAAAGGCTCTTATATTAACAATTTAGTCAACCACCTACAAATTCATTTTAGATAATAACTCAGTATCGTCAACACAATTATCAATACAAATTTTACCTTTAAAGAAAACACAATACTGCTCTTCCAAATTTTATGCTCTTTATCATCACAATGTGACTATATTCTGCTAAAAATATATGAATTAATTAAAATTCTATCCAGAATTAAGGTTTTCATAAACCACAAAGGATGCTCTATAAAAATTAACTTAAAACAACAAAATTTAACTTCTTAAAATAATACATTTTAAAGTTTTGTTTTTAAATCAACTCATTTGCTAAGTAAAATTTGTGCAATAAGAAATTCTCTTTAAAGTATTATTTACTTACAAGGTATAATTTAAAACTCAAATCTATAATTTTGTTGAAAAAGTTACTATTAATTTAAAGAAGAAAAATTCTTAAACAGTTTATGCTTAAGATGCCAATGTAAACAACCTTAAGAGAATGACCAGTTTCATTTTTAGAAATGTTTCAGTTTCAAACACTGTACTCAAAATAACTAACACCACAAATACAATGGCAGTGAAATTGTTTCAGAAGATGCATTATTTATCCAAGCTTCCTAGAATTTAGTATTTCCACACCCCAAAACTAAACCAGACCCAAATGGCACAAGTAAAGGTAAATATTTCTTGCAGTAAATATTAACCTCTGTGAAGACAAGCTATGTGCCTGCTATATATCCGTGATAGAGAACAAATGCGTCATGCCACAATGACCACAACCATCTGGAGTCCAGAATTCATGGATTCTTTATGTGCTTCCTTTGCAGCAGGCTGCCATCATTCATGCTACCATAAACACTACAAATCTCATTCTTCTCACAATTTAAATTACTTTTAACTTAAGTGGAAGCTGCATCAGACCACGTTGCTTCCTAATTTTTCTTACTATCAAAACTTCTCATCCAACCATCCTTTTCCTTTGATTCCTCAAATTAAGGCTGTTGGTGTGTGTGTGTAAGGCAAATAACTAAAGGTGGACC